CAAGGAAGTGCCTGAAATGACCAAAATGACAGCAAAGGGAAGTGGAAGCTGATTGAATAGTCGTGACAGGAGGTGCAGACAAATTGGAGAGAAATTAAATGAAAACTCTGTTGAAGGGTTCAGTCTTTGCACTGTCTCAAAACTGCATTGATGTTATTAATAAATCCAGTAAAATCAAATAAAATACCCTGCTTTTCCTGCTATGTGACTTTTTCGCTCATAAAAATAAATAAAAATTTAAATATCATCTTTTCGCTTGTTTTTTGGAGCATGAACAAAAGTTCGACTCTGACTCTGAACTATTCAGAGTCAGAGGTGATTTGTGGCAGAAGGTCAGCAGCAAGAGTGAAAGGGGAGGTTTGAGGTGGTGCTGAGACCTGCTACGACGTGCGGTTTTGAGGTGGTGGGACTGACAAAAAGACAAGAGGTAGAGTTAAAGATTTCGAGTTTCATTGTGAGTGACCAGAATGGACAAGATTAGAAAGGGTTAGATCAGAGGGACAGCTCGGCGGTTTGAAGACAAAGTTAGAGAGGGATGGCTGAAATACTTAAATAGCCATGTGCAGAGGAAGGATAGTAGACATACAGGACAAAGTATGATGAATTTCCTCCAGCTGCAAGGCTGAAGGAAAAGATGGAGACCACAGAGGAGGTGCATGGATGCATTAAAGGTTGACAGGCAGAGGACTGGACTGTGAAGTCAAACTCAGGACCTTCTTGTTGTGAAGCAACAGTGCTAACCACCGCACCACTGTGCTAAAGCTGTGTTTGTGTCTGGTCCTTGAGACAGCTTATTTTAGGATTTTAGGCGATTCCCATCAAGATGCTTCAGTCAAACAGCCCTAAGAGAGTTGCAGCATGGCCTGGAGGTGTCACTATCACAATCTGCGGGGAGTACGATCATTTGTTATGAAACAAGAGGACCCAAAAGATTAAAGAAGATTAAACAATAAACACACAGGACGGTTATTAGGGAAGAGGAGACGGCAGGGACAAATCAGGAGTAACGAGTCAGTTACAGCAAAACTCAACATAACCAACAAAATCAAATAGGAAGCATCTGTTTTGGTCGCTGGCTCCAGTCTGCATGCTGAAGCTTCCTTTGGTTACAAGATGCAGAACCAACGTTAGTGTGAATGAGACTGTGAGAATGTTTACAGCATTCGCTCCACTTTGAATTCAGTTTGAAGAAGTAATGAGACCAAAACACAGACACCGCAAAAGGACGAAACACGGGCAAGAAGCTAAGTAACCAGAAAAGAAAACAAGGAAATAGAAAGATAAGATCCAC